TTAACGGGGTTAGATCGTTGGATGAAATCCGAGTCAATTCCGAGACGTAGAACCGGCTGATGTGGGAATTTCTTTTATATAGTATCGCCTGGAATTTAAGTCTTAAATTATAACAATCAATTTTAAATTATTTGGTGCACTTTATTGACAATAATCAGAGAACGTACATATATTTTTATAAATATACGTTCTCTGCAATAATTTACTTCATCAAGTCACAATAGAAGCACAAACAAATTATGGACAAATAAGCGAAAACCTCCACCAAATCTACAAATTATAAACAATTTATAGTTGAAGCGCAAGCTATAAAAAATAAATGCTAGTTTATTTTCGAAATCAATCGAATTATGGTTCATGCGCCTTCGCCAATTTTTTCGATTACATTCATAAAGCAATACCGAACATTCGGAAAAAATAGGGTTTAGGATGACTGAATTATTTTATAGCAACGACATATAAATTCTTAAAGCTCGGGGAGCTTAGTAACAAAAAACTTTTTAATAGTAAATTTCTTTGAAGCTTTATGTGGTTGTGATTGCAGGGGGTATCGTATTTAAAACATGCATTGCTTTGGAGATACTTTTTTTTAATGTTTAGTGTGATATCTGCTAGCTTTTAGTCTAGCTGGCACGGAGTTATCTATTTTTTTTTTGTACTTTTTGTTCCAATTTTGTTCCACTCTTCCAAAATAGTTTTTTTTGGATGTTCCTTATCAGTAATGCCATATTTACGGATGTTATTTTCTAACAAAGACCATAAATTCTCAATGGGGTACATGTCGGGTGAATGGAACAGTGGCTTCAATAGATGTGGACTATTCCGTATTAGCCGGGTCTGCACTATTGACGATTTGTGTTTAGGATCGTTGTCCTGATGATACTGGAAATTTTGACGTATTCCAAGCTTCTCAACACTTGGGATTAAATTTTCTTTTAAAATATTAAAGTACAATGACTTATCCATAACACTATCAATAAAGGAAAAATTTCCAACGCCGGCTGCAGACAAACATGCCCTTACCATAACACTGCCCCCACCATGTTTAACAGTTGGCCTAGTGTTACATCGCCGAAGCTCAGTATTTCTTTTCCGCCACACAGAAGCTATTCCATCCAACTCGAGAAAGTTAAATTTCGACTCGTTACCAAAAATTACAGTATTACAGAAGTTAAAATCCTTGGTTGTCAGTTCCCTGGCAAAGGCAGCTTGGCCTAATTGTTTTTTTTTTTTTTTTGTTTTTGCTAATGAATGGCTTCTTTCGGGCTACTCGGGCATTGAAGTGATGCCTACGTAGTACCCGACGCACAGTTTTAGCACAAAATTATTTCTCTAGCTCCTCCTGAATCTCAGTAGTTAACTTTGGAACTGATATTTCTTTAATTTTACGCACAATTAAACGCCCGTCAAGTTTATTCAAAATTTTATTTGATGCGTTTCGGCCTTTATTTTGAATGTGACTTTCATGTACGAAACGCTCAATTATATTTTGCACTGTCGCACTACTTAAATGTACTATCTCAGCAAATTTTCGCAGTTACTTTCCCTTTTTGAAATGGTTTATGACCAATTCCCGCTGCTTAATGGTTTTACGGGGGATTTCACTGAAATTAGTACACTGATAATTTCACACACAAAAACACACTAAAATTGGTTTCAAATTATTACTGAAGGTTTAAGGATTATAAATACCTTGTACCGTTCCCCACCCAACTGGCTATCACTATAACATAGCCAAGTGCGTGCATGAAATAAGCTGTGAGCAAAATTCCAAGGATGCAGCTGCATTTCATGCCCTTGTGCGTATAGGACTGAACTTTCACAAACTTTAAAAAGTTGCGAAGCTCTACTTTCACTAAATAAGTGATGATCTGTACTTTATATCGATCAAATTTTTTTAGTATTTAATAAGTTTTGTGAATTCATTAATTCAACGAAAGCTTTATTTGACTAAGCTGAATATTCGCCTCGTTGGTTTTCATCAGCTAGAAGCGGGTTAATCTCGTTGTAAGGCAGGTTATCAATAACCACGTTATCAGCAGTTCCTTCGTGTTCCAATATAAAGTTATGAAGCTCAAAACATGACATAATAACATTCTTTTCCAACTTAAAGTCTTGGATTTCCAAAAAATTTAGTGTTCTAAACTTTTTTAGTTAGCCAAATGTTTACTCCACACAGACTCTGATCGAACTTAAGATGTTATTATATGTTGCCTAGCCTTCATATATGAACCCATTGCCCTTGTAAGCTACCATTAGATATGCTTCCATAACTCTTATTCTGCTCTGCTCAGTCGTTGAAAATGGTATAATGTGCTTCTATGCACTATGCAATCAGTTGTATGCACTGAATACATCCTCTGCAACAAGCGCCCATTCCATGATTAAACCGATCGTTTACTTCGCGAAAGCTATTCTGACTAGAAAGCTTACATACTGTCATATAAAGACACTTCTTCAACGAGACTCCGGGATGTCTAGTAAGCAACTAATTCCATAAATGTTCGAGCATACAGTCTAATTTCTGTAAAATAGAGCAATATTAGTATATTTCAAATAACGAAATAACATTTCTTACCTCAGAAATTGAGATTTGCA